GATTTGTACTTCCTGAAGCCTGCCTGTTCCGGTCGCAGTTTTGAATCCAGTGCATCTTTTAACCTCTCCAGGATGATGCGGCTTAATATTTTACTTGGGGTGGACAGGAGAGTGATTCCGCGCCAGTTCTTGCAAGCACTCAGGTCTCCTTTCTTCGGCAGTTTGACAAGGTAACCCTTCTTCCAATCGTCAGGTACCTTCTCTTCCTTCCACACCTTCTGCAATAGTGGTGTGAGCATGTCTGTTGTTGTCTCTGCATCTGTTCTCAGTGCTTCTGGCGGTATCCCATCTGGTCCTGCTGCTTTCCCACATTTCAGTAGCTTTATGGCATTCAGGACTTCCATTTTCGTTGGGGGATTTATGTTCACTTGTAATTCAGCGGCTGCAGGTGGTATTTCTGGACGAAGTGCAGGTGGTGGTCGATTCAAGAGCTTCTTGAAGTGGTCGGCCCATCGTTCCCTCTGTTTCTCTTCCTTTGTAATTAAATTTCCTTCTTCATCTTTTATTGGTTTCATCTGTGTTGGTCTCTTCCCTGATAGCAACCTGGTTATTTGATACAATGTCGTCAGGTCTCTCTCCTACCAGTCAGCAACCTGTTCTGCTTCACTTGCCAGTGTTTCGTAGAAGTGTCTTTTGTCTTTGCGTGCACTCTTCTTTACTTCTTTGTTCAGTGTTTTATACATCGTGCTCAGTTCCTCTTGTCGTTGAGCATCCTTGCACTGGTTTATCTTCTGCTTCACCATCCTCCTCTCCTCTATCAGCTTCCAGGTATCCGTCGAGATCCATTCCTTGTCTTCTTTCTTCTTCCTTCCTAATACTGTTGTGCAGGTTTCTTTCCACATAGCTTCCAAAGACTTCCAGTGTTCTTCCACACAGGTTTCTTCACGGATGTTCCTCGATGTCTCCCATTTTGTCTTGATGGCTGCCGTGAAGATCTCCTTTGTAGTTTCATCCTTCAGTTTCCGAGTGTTGTACTTGAACTGCGGTCTATCACCAGCTTCCTTGAAGGCTTTTAACTTGATTTGAAAGGTTCCTTGCACTAGATAGTGAGTGGTGTGAACCTATATCTGCTCCTCTTCTTGACCTTGTGTTAAGTAGACTGTGTCTCCACTTTCTCGAGATTGAGATAAAGTCGATTTGATTTTTAGTGTGTCCATCTGGTGAAATCCATGTCGCTTTGTGGATATCTTTGTGCCTGAACACACTGCCTCCAATCACCAAATCGTTGAATGCACAGAATTCTGCAAACAATTCTCCATTCTCATTCATTTCACCTAGCGCCTCTCGACCCATGGTTAGTTCTCTTCCCGTGTTGTCCCCTCCCAGTTTGGCATTCATGTCGCCCATTAGAATTTTGATATCGCCAACTGACGTCTTGTCCAGTGTTGATTGAAGTTGTCTGTAGAAATCCTCCTTCTTCTCTTCATCTGCATTATTTGTAGTTGCATAGTGTAGCACTGTACGATTGTGACTTTCCTTCCTTTTGAGTTGAACCTTGCTGTCATGATCCTGATGGTGGAGGAGATTGGTTCCCACTGCATGACAGCCTTCGATGCTCTTGAGGACATCATGATAGCCACTCCGAAACTCAGTGTGCTCGTGGTTGTCGTTTGGGTGACAATATCGGAGTAGGTTATTGACTGTCCAGTTGACAGTTTGGAGAGTCCACTCCCATCCCATCTGCTTTCGCAAATCCCAAGCACTTCGATGTGATACCTTCTCATCTCCTTTGCAATCTGGGCTGCCTTACTGGGTTCAAACATCGTACGGACATTCCATGTCCCCACGTTTACTTTCGCTTTCATCGAGAGAAGACACATCGGCCAATTGGCTTCCCGAAGGCTTTCACCAACTGGCGTCATTTCGCCTCTCCGATTCCAGCGGGGAATAAGTTTGTTTTCATTTTTTATATTTTGTTTGTGCTTTGAAGTTTCTTTAGCGGTTAGATTTGTTTTACGGGGTAGGGTTGCTAGCCCTATGCCCAACCTTCCCTCTTTACCCGGGCTTAGGACCGGCTAGTAACTAGTAAACTAGTTAACCAGGCGAGTTATTCAGACTGGTCTAAGAAGTCAATTATTTTAATTTATGAGGAGAGAAGTGTCTGGATGAAAAGCACACAGGCGTCAGTTAGACTAAAAACGTATTCAAGATTTTACGGTCCATAGACATAGGATCACTGAGGTTGTAAACCATCGATTCAGGGGGGTGAGACATGTGCACGCCTTCTGTATCATCACACAATATTAGATGAAGTAGGTCAAAAATGGGAGGTAAGGGGAGGACGGGAAAAAGTAGTACCAGCACATAAAGTCTCTGACTGTTGGTCTGAGTCGTGTAGAAAGTGAACTTCTCAAGGGGGGTGGGGGCAGTATAGTAACAGACCAAAACAATTTTTGTTTCATTCCAAGAGGATAACTCCTGCAGGTAAATAACCCAGTCCATTAACTTTCAACACATAAGTAACAATTTCATTCATCACAACTTTTAATACACTCATTAGTTACATGTATCAACTAAAAGTCTGCAAATACAGCACATCTAGCCGCAGTAATCACTAACAATTCATTAAACGAAGTCATCAACAAGAGTAGGACACGAAATTAGATTTTTAAAAACAGGTTTTTACTACAGTAATTCTTGACACCTGCTATAGTCATCCTGATTTTCCCACCATAAATCACCAAGGGACTTAAACTATTCCTTTTTGATACACCGAATGGTGTAAATGGGTGCAGTTCCTGTATATGATTTACAGTTCCACTCAGTAGTGTCAACAGAAAATGCTTTCTCAGACAAACAAAACTTCAAGTGATAACTCGCACCACACTATTACGACTCTCATCAAAATTAATTACGGAGCGTTTGACCAAGCCAAAGTAATTGCGAAGATCACGACAGTGTATGGTAACGAGGTATCTATTTAATGAACAGAAGCCCGAAAACCGAAACCTGGGTCTCAAAAAGTTTAGAACTCTCGACCAAGGATAACTTAGAACCTAGGGTTCATGACATCTCCAACTGGCAAACTAACAAACTGAACCAATTTAAGGGTTGGTTGTCTATTCTTCTTACCCTTCACTGATATCCAAAAGTTACACATCCACTACTTCATGACTGGAAGATATAAATTAACAGAAGTCAATGCACTTTGAAGCTCCAGCAACTGACCACAAGAATACAACTGAATCTTCATGAATGTAAAAACTGACAGTAGAAAATGTAGGTGTAAATACTGTAACTAACTGGTATTCCACAGTTCAATACGATTTTGAAAGTGTACAGACTCATCAATCAACCAAACCTACATGTTAGGCAGTAATAACAAAAAAATGAACCTCACTATGCAAGTAAACACCACTACCTCCGCGTCCCAACTTACATACATAAATTCCAACTGCAGTACATAAATTCATAGACAAGTGGAGCACCTGCGACACGCAAATACAAATGCATACTAGGTTGAAGAGACGAGGTAATAAAAGTCGAGCCTAGAGAGTACATCTGACAGCAGTTACTTCTAACCATATCACAACTGTTAGTATCAGTTCCAGGTTACAAGATCAGTTATAGATGAACTACGTTTGCATCTTGACTGGTGGATTACGTAGACTTCAGTCAAATGTACCTCTTATTTGAAAGATTTCATTATCCACTCCTTCTTACTACATGTTGTCGGACACACCGGTGGCTTTGATTTATCAACACACCACGTCCAACCCCAACAAAGCCAAGATTCATCACAAGGACAGTGCATACAAACAGCTAGAAAATTAACTCAGCACGCGACATCAAAATAGACCAAAAATGTAAGCAATCAAATAAGCTGGCTTTATGATGGCAAAGAAAACTTTGAAGACATGATAATTAGAGCAAAACCACCACATGAAACCTAACTTCCAATCTTAGTAGGCGCATATTTGTGTAAGGAAGGTTAAAAACTTATTGGTTTGATGACATGATGGGCAACTAGAAGTCTCTCTCATTCGATTTGATTCTACCAGTTATAACTCCCTAGAGTAAAGATCATCATCAATATCAACCTAGGACCAGGCATTACTGCGTGACGGGTCCAAGTTGCCACAGCTCATATCAGTACATCAAGTAGAAAGGTAGTGAGGTCAAAGATGAAGATGAGAAAATTCAGTCAAAAGCAATACAAAGTACGAGAAGAAAGAAAAGAAGAATGACAAAATGGTGAGGGTCGATACAGTGTTAAGATGAGGATAATGTGTGTGGGGATACATTGCGCCACTGACATCGGCTCTAAGCCATATCCCCTAGTCTCCAGCCACTGGTTCCTCTTGTCCCGCGAACCCCAACCACCTAGTATACATCGCCCCACATGGCTCAAACTAACAGTCAGAGACTTCATACATTGGTACCAAAGATCAATTACGATAGGACGTACTGGCAGCTATCGGCGTAGATACAATTTCACACAACCCAACAGCTTAAACTTAACCTACTGACGTTACCATAACTGACTGAATGCAACCGTAACCTAGCAGATCGCAACCCGCAGTACAGAACAGTAAACCTCCTTGGCCAGCATTTACTTCGGGAGCACTATGTAGACTTCTGGTTTCAGCCCGAACCCACTTTGGGAGCACTTGCCGAACTTAGGGTCTTTGGGCGCACTTCGAGACTTTTGACTTTCAGGGAAAGGTTTGGAATTTTCGGGGAATATCGTGCGTCTCCCAATTTCAGCCCGAAGTAAGTTTTCCGGGTTTTCGCTCAAAACTTACACGTGCGTCCGAAGTAAATGATGGCTGGGACCTAACTGATCGCCGCAAAATTGCACAGCTTTGCAAGTTATTTACACTACCCATATATAACCAACTGATATTTGAGTTTCTATCCAGCGGATATGAACCATTACACCCTCGTGAATACATACATCATACCATACTATCTGGTGGATCACATTTGACACATCTCACTGGAGTTACTGCATATTACATTAGGGACAAAAAACATATTATTCAATCGATTATTATTACTTTTAGTGTGGTTCCTGATATTCTCGATAGTTATTTCCTTTCTATGACATACCTTTGGAGAGGTCACCTGTAACCTAATGATTTAATACGATGACAACCAACCTCATACGTACGATTCAAAGCTTTTGAGACTTTTTTATCACTCTCTGGTGTCGAAGTCAATCCACTACATGGCACACACTCCCGGTCATTAACACAATATGTCTGCATGCGTGTACAAAGTGGTCACAACAGAAAACACCTACCTCTGTGGACTGGCTAAACGAACACGGTTCGGAGAAAACCTCAATATTTATATTTTCTTTTGTACTTTCAGCTTCCTAAGGGTCTAACGTGGGAAAGCATAAAACAAACCTGAACGCAAAGCACGGTCCTCAATTCTTTCCTTAGTTCTGAAGCCTGTATTGTTTAACAAATTGGTAATTTTAAGATGCGCACCTTTTTGTTAGCCTTCAGGCCATGAGCCTTAGATAACTTCCGCAATTCCACGTACGGCAAACACTCAAGATCTAGAACCACATCCATTTTAAACACCAAGTTTTCGATGGCCCGCCCCCAATATCCAATATCCAATATTGATAGTGCGAGCGTAGAAAACTAGTAGTTTTTGATCTCTCGCGTCTAGTTCTTAGGGCTTGGTTCCAGTTGTTCGGTTCACTCCTGCAGTGGACGAGGAAATCCCCTCTGCTTTCTTGCTTTTAGCTTCGGTGAGGTGGATGTTTTGTGGGTTAGTAGGTTGTAATTTGTAGAGTGATTAGGGAGCTACGGGCTGCTGGGAAGTTTAGAGAACAACCGTGACTCCTGTCTGTGTAGGTACCTGAAAGAGAATATTAAGGTAGTGGTAAAGGAATGAAGAGAGAAATAAGGAAGAGTAAAAAAATAAATAAAAATAAATAAATAAATAAAAAAAAATAAAAATAATAGTAATAATAATGTAGGGAAGAGGAAAGGGAAGGAGAATAAAAGAAGGGGTGAAAAGAGAAATGAGAACGAAAGAAAAGTATTTGGGAATTGCCCGAATGGTCGCGTGGGTTTGGTTCCTACAGAAGAATTAGTAGGTAATGTGGGTGTATTAAGGAGAGAGATAGTGAGTGGTAGTTAGGAGGGAGTTGGGGGTACTGAGGTTGGTGACTACCTGAGTACGTCCGTGGTAGTCCATGCGAGGTGACATAACTGTCTAATCGCCTCTTGAAAGAGTCGATTGAAGGAGCTATAACGATGTGTCGCGGTAAGGCATTCCATAAAGCACATACTCTCAGGGAGAAAAATTTGGACCTGAGTGTGGTGTTGGCTCTCTGGTGTGCTATCTTAAAGGGGTTTCCTCGTGAAGATCGTTCAGTTGCAGGCAAAATTGATTTGTTTGCATGGTCTGCCTGATGGGCGATCTTGTATGCCATAATGAGGTCACCCCTTTTCCTGCGATAACCCAAGGTAAATAGGTTGAGGTGTTTAAGTCTTTCAGGATACGTCTTTCCCCTTAGCCCCACAACTGATTTTGTTGCAGTTCTTTGTATTCTTTCAAGGAGATTAGAGTCTCTCTTGAGTGTTGGAGGAGCCACCGTATTGAAGACCTCTAGGTGCGGCCGCACGTAGGATTTGAAAATGGTGAGGAAGAGTTCGGGAGTGAGGGCGCCAAGCTGTCTACGCAGAAAGTGTAGAATGGCGTTCGCTCTGGTTGTCATACCTTTGTAGTTGGAGCTGGTGTCCAAGGTGTCGGAGAAGTTGAGCCCCAAATCTTTCTCCATGGACACTCTGGTGATAGCACGGTTGCTCAACATGTACTGGAAGTCGGTCGTACTTGCCTCATTTTTACTGATGTGCATTACTTTGCACTTTTCCAGTTGAAGCTCAGACCATTTTCCGACGACCAGAGCTCGAGTTGCTGCAAGTCCTTTTGTAGTGCTGCACAGTCGGCTTCTTCGTTTACCACCCTCCAAATTTTTATGTCGTCAGCGAAGAGGAGGATGGGTGAGGATATTTTGTCTGGCAGATCGTTGACAAAGAGGAGGAACAGAAGCGGTCCTAGGATTGCTCCTTGGGATACTCCTGACGTCGACGGTCTCCACTCCGACCTTATTCTGTTCACTTTAGTGCAGAACTGCCTCCCTTCCAGGTACTCCTTGAACCAAGAGAGTAGGGGTCCACTTATACCAGCTGACATGATCTTGTGAAGCAGTACTGTGGGTGGGACACTGTCAAATGCTTTGGCTAGGTCGAGAAATACAACATGTACAGGTTTTCTATTATCCCAGCTTTGTGTCCAGTCGTCCCAGGCAGTTAGTAAGTTGGTGGCACATGAGCGACCACTACGAAAGCCGTGCTGAGCAGTGTGGACAGTGTTTTCTCTATTGAGGAATTCCCAGATGGTGTCAGCTACCAGGCTTTCCAACACTTTCGACACAATAGGGAGTAGGGCAATCGGCCTGTAGCTGCCAGGGTTTTTTCTGTCTCCTCCCTTGAAGATGGGTGACAAGATGGCACTCTTCCATTCTTTAGGGAGTTTGCACGAGTCTATTGAGTGCTCAAAGAGGTTGCGAAGTGGTTTGGTAAGCACCTCGGCGCAGTTTTTCAGAACCACTGGTTTCAGATTATCGCAGCCAGGGGACTTGCCCGGACGTAGCCTAGATAGCTTCTCGAACACCTTTTTCTCTGTAATAGAGACGTGACAGAGGTATTCGTTATTTGCGACCTGGTCGGTGTCGTGGCGAGTCGGTGTGGATCTTGTGTCAGTGCTGAGTTGGGCTTGGAAGTGTGAGCTCAAAAGCTCGGCAATCTCTAGACTGCTTAGCACACTCCCGTCATGGCCTGTGACAAGATTCACTCCCTTACTGGTCGACTTTCTTCTTGACATGAAGCGGTACAGGTTTTTGGGGTTGCTTTGTAACCTCGCTGCCAAGTTTGTTTGGTAGGAAAATCTGTCGTTACGCACTCTAATGTTACAGAGATTGCGAATCCTTTTATAGTTCAAGAAGTCAGACTCCCTGCGTGATGTAAGCCACTTGAACCAAGCCTGCTTCTTGCTCCGGATAAGCCTCTCTGTCCCACGCTTTAACCATGAGGTTCTCATTGATTGTCTGTGTGTTACTTCTGGTACACTGTGACTGATGGCCCCAGTGATTATTTTCTTCACCTCCAACCAGTGTTCATCTATTGTGAGATGAGTCCAGTCCACTGGCCATGATGCATTCATGAGGTAGTCCCTCATGGTCTCATAGTTGGCCTTGCTGTAGCAAGGGAAGGTGTTGGGCGTCTCCAGTTGCAGAGCCTCCCTAGTTATCATGGAGAAGGTGATTACAGCGTGGTCACTGAGGCCAAGGGGAGGTTGGATGCAAACATCCTCAATGAGAAGTTCATCGTTCGTCAGAACGTAGTCAAGGCGCGATGCGTTTCCGTTAGGTCCCCAGCGTGTAGCATCACCCACTTTCTCTGAGAGGCCAGCAGTCTTAATTGCATCCTTCAGCTTCTGATTGAAGGATCTGATGCGTCTCCCTTCCGTCTCGAAGAGGATGGACGGGGTGTTGAAGTCGCCGGCAATGACTACGGAATCGTAATTTGCAGAGGAAGTCGTTAAGATAGCCTTGATGATCATTTCCTTATGTGTAGGGGAGCAGGTGGGGGACCGATATATGACTCCGAGCAAATATTTGGTACTGTGGAGAGTGAAGTAGCACCATAGGGACTCTGGGACCTGGGTTAAGGCCGTATCGCTAACCATCCTTGCCTTTAAACAAGAGTTTACGTAGATAGCCACTCCTCCTCCTGCTCTATGTTCCCTGTCCCTGCGGAAGAGTTCCATGCCAGTAACATGCATCTCTTCGTCGGAGATGTCTGGCGAGAGCCAGGATTCGGTGATGAATATGATGTCGGAGTGCTGATGTGCACGCAGCGTCCTCATTTCTGCTACCTTCCCTCTTAGCCCCCTAACGTTGCTGTACATACATATTAGAGTGTGCCTGGTGAGGGGGAGGTCTGGTTGTGTATTTTCGCAGGATGACAGCTTATGTGGTTGGGTCTACCCTCGCCAGTCCTCATAGGACTGGCATTGTTCCGTTTTTTGGTGTTTTGTTATTAACTTGGGTGGGGGCTGTGGCAGTGGTAGCTTCTTTACTTGATGTATCTAACTCACTGGTCAGCGCCTGTGTGACGACCACTGACTCCAGGGGTCTTGGTGGTTGTCGTCTCTCCTCTTGCCTTGTGGGTCTAGGCTTACTTTCACATATACGTATTGAGCCACCCATGCGATCCTTCGCATTATACCATGCCTGTAGAACGTCTGTGAGGGAGGCATATGAGTCGAACTGGACGGCGAGTAGTCTGGGATTGGGTATGGTCTTCAGGTGCGCTGGCCTTGGCAGTCTACTGACGCTGTTGGCCGGTATACTGTTGAGACCAACTTTGGTTGAGAGCCATTGCCATTGTTGGACGTCATGAAAGTACCGATCTTTGACCGAGCGGTCACTTGGCAATTCTGGAATCCCATGTACAACTATAGTGTTGTTTCTGTTGGGATTTCCAACCGCTGACTTTCTCTCCTCCTCTCTTATTGACCATGGCTTGTCAGGCCTGGCCCGAATTTTACAGGCATTAACAACGTCCGGTTGTCGCGAGAGGAGGAGTGTGTCTTCAGCCTCTTTGGTAGTATTTAGGGACACACGTAAAGGGGGTGGCTTATCTCGGGGTGCACGGCTTCCTCGAGAAAGGCGACATAAAGTTGCAGGGAGGGGAGGGAGTCCTAGCATCTGACAGTAGTCGGTCCACATTCGGCTGTCAAACCGTTCCCTCTCGACCAACAATGAGTCTGTCGATACATCGACGTTGAACAAAATGATCGAGTTGGTCCTCCTGTGACCTGGGTTCGTTGTGGGTGGCACGCTTGACTTCCCAATGGGTTTGAGTAATTCCACTGGTTGTTTCTCAGTCACGGTGTGTAAGGTGTTTGGAATGGGTTTCGTAGAGGCTTTAGCGGTCGATGTCTTTGGCCATACGCTTGACGTCCCCTGGGGCCGGGTAGGAGGTATGGAGACTTGACCTAATATGGTCCCCACGCGAGGTGGCGTGCCGGCAGCTGGAGCTCTAGGTCTGTTTCCAGGTCTCTCTGTGTTATCTTTGGTGTTAACCCTACTTTATTCGAGGGTGCTGGTAGCTTTTGCGTGGCGGAGAGCATCTCCTTCAGGCTTTCTGTGCGGAGTGCGGGCATTTTCCTGCACTCTGGACAGATGTACCAGAACCACTTGCATGGTTGTCTCTTCATCAACTTATAGTATTGTCGGGGGACTTTGGTGTCGCAGTGACAATGCGCCCATCGTTGACATAGGTTGCATGCAAATGCCTCATCGACTACCGAAACAACTTTGGTGCAAACACTGCAGCCATCGGGTGTCGTAATACAGCATTCCTTGCATGAATTAGGTGCTACGGATTGTGACGAACTGCCTGTGGCTGCCTTGTGCTGAAGCCTTTTACGTCGTCTTCTATTTCCAGGCGTGGTATGATCCTTGCTCAAGATAGGACTAGTTTGTGACGGGCTAGTGCTACTCTGTGTCACCTGTCTGATGGCTACTGGAATTCTAGA